CACCAGTATGGTAAAAATGAATATAAAAACTAAATATGTCTGAAAATAAATACATATGTTTTATTTGTTGTCAGTTTTGGTAGGATCTGCCCTCTGTATAGTTGTGTGGGAATTTGCTTTATATGTGAAACTAACTGCATTTCCATTACAATTTAACGCAAGTATTTGTTGATATTGAACTAATGTTGGGGGGGAAAAAATACAACATAATTTTGCAATGGCATTGTTTCCATTAAATAAAAAATTTAATTGAAATCACACATGAACAAGCTGTTCACATGATAAGTCAATAAAAATCATGGCAGTGACAGATGTAAACAGTTAAATGAGATATATTCATAATTCAGCCATGGTGTCCATTATCTATCAGCCATCATAGGAAACGTTGGCATCTCATTCAGACAATGGAGCATCAAGCTGTTTATACTTGTGTGCAGCTACCTATGTGACGTTTTAAGTAAATTGTAGTTGGCAATTTTACAGAAAATCTATGGATTGGATGCTGTTCGAATGACACACAACTTTTTATGAACTGTGATGTTGTGAAAGCTCTGGTGGAGTCAGCTGCATATTTTAGAAAAAAACAAAACATCATCCTCATGCTACTTCCTGTCATTGTCTTTGTCATTTTCCCCAGTAGTAACATCCGGTTGTTGATCCCGTGACTCTTGTGATGCAAAATACATCTATTTCGATAAAAAACCCACCTCATTCCAGCACAAAAACTTTCTATTGAAAAAGATGAGATGTTTCAAAATTAGCTTGTTTCTGTTTAGCATATCTTCAATTTGAGCAATTATTTGATTGATGGAAACACAGTTAGTGTTTCACTTCAACTGTTTGCAGTTTAGATATGGGTGGTTTAAGTTAAGTTAGGTGTATATTTATTGATGGTTTCGGATGCAGCGGGGAACATGAGCTCGCCGTCCCAATTATTATTCTCAGTCATCTCTCTCTGAGACGTTTCTACACTCCCTTTGATTCTTCGAGCCTCTGCTCTCAGCACAGCCATGCTTTGTGCATTTTTATTTGCCTTTACAAGCAAATGGAGACGTTTCCGCATGTAAATGTGAGAATACGAGCTTGCTGAGCAGAATAAGTTGACTGAACAAGTTTTACTTCATCTGCGTAAGCATCTGAGGCAAAGAGCTGCCCTCCAACGCAGATCCGTCAGGGTGACGTGGCATCGGGTGTGGAGGCGGACCTGTTCCTGCTTAATGTCATGAAGCCGGAAGTACAACAGTCACACATGACTCGGTTCTTCCCGAAAGATTTCTTAAAATCCCGCAGAAGTACATTTTGTCATTTCTGCACAGTTGGCTTTGACATGTAGAAGTTGTAACAGATGATAATGGAGGTACGTTTTGTTCCCTTCTCCACCAGTAATGGCTCCTTTTAATGGCATTTCAAATTTATGCTTAGATCTGAAAATGAAAACTGTTCCACAGCTGTGCATAGTTTATTAATGGTGAAAAAAGTTAAGTGACTGGTAGAAAGCTGAAAAATAAATATTATGTTCTTCATTCTTGTTTTCATTTTGTGGCCTGTTGTCTCTAGAGCAATTCAGTGACATTTTACCAGTGACAAACATGAAGCTTGTAAGTCCCCTGGAGTTTATCAAGCTTGTTTAATTAGAGCCAAACATTATTAGCTGTGTGATGCCACTGGACCTACAAATAAATACAGACAGTCTAATTAGCAGAACAAGAACATTTCGCTTGTTTTGGGGAAATAAACACATCTGCTGACTTAGTTAAGTCAGACCAGAGGATTTGTGTAAATGCTCCATGATTTTTATTAGTTTTACTTGTATAAAGCCATCTTGTTTTTGCACTGATTGAGTTTTGTGAGGAAAGTCGATTCAATCATTTTTGATTTTCAATAGAAAATCAAAAATGTGTGTGCATTGATTTCTGAATGAAGTGTAAAAATAATATCATCAAAGCAAAATAATTTTTTTACTGTACAGTTGAGAAACTACAATATAAAAATAAAATTTTAAGAAGGAATCGATCATCGTTATTTCCATGCTATATTGATATTTTATCAAACCACTCACCTCTAGATAGCACACCACTTTGTCAAACAACTAGAGAAAATTATGCATGTTGTCACTATCTGTGTTTCCATTACAAATGTGCAGAAAACTTTGTCAATATTCGGCCAATGTAAAAAACAAACAAACAAAAACACACACACACACAATTGCCGCGTTTCCATTAAATAAGAGAAGAAACTAAGATCACATATAAATGAGTTTGTTCACACAATAGAAACATGCCGCGCCATCATCCTCCAACCACTTGTCGTCATCTTTGTGAGTTGCACCAGCGGCAACATCTGGTTGTGGCTCAAGTGACTGGTGTGATGTGAAAAAACTGTTTCCATTGCAGTTTTGTGAAATAAAACCAATTTCAATATGACCAAAAAAACCACCTCATCCTAGAGCCAAATAAAATGACAGTTTTTTTTTCTGTTTTCAAAATAAAGAGCTAATTTATTTTTGAAATGTCCAATTACGCAATTTTATGGTCAGTGGAAACGCAGCTGATTTCTCTGGCGTTTTTTGTTGTTATTTTCAGGATTTTAAATCATAAGAACAGAATGAAAACAACATTTAAAACCTTGCTACACCTTTGACTCACATGCTCGTAACTCTCACTGAATCAAAGATTAATTTAGCTATATTGCCTTTTCATTTTTAGGCTTTTTTTTGACCAACGGCTCATTTTCTCTTAATTTCCAACTCTAATATTGTGTCTTATGCATTTTCTGAATTGATAGAGACATAGAGTAACTCCTTTTGACATTCACTTCGCTAATCCAATTCTCCAAAAGCTCACAGACCCAACGCTGCGTTTGGTTTTCTTTCGCAGCATAAAACCATACAGGTGATTTTATTTTTTTCTCATCTCTTATAAATGTTAATTGAAAAAGTGTCACAACTCTTTACTTTATTTGACTCTTTAGAGCAAATTGACCTCTCGGCTGAAAAGCAGCAGTCCGCAGGGAGTAAATGTTTTGACACTCAGTGCGTCTCTGTAACCTTGGCTTGGTTCTTATGACACCCTTTACGGTCCTCCTCCTCAGACAACATTTTATATATAGTTTCCCTTTGCAGGCAGATTTTTTTTGTCCTTCTCATACTGTGTATTTATTTCCGCTGCTGAGCATACCAGGGCCACTGTGAAGCTGAGTATCTGGCCCAAGGACACTGAGATGCTGAAGAGGCCGGAAATCGAAAAAGCTGACCTTCTGATTGATGGATAGCAACTGGGCAATTGAATTCATAGGGAGTCCTTTTCGCTTTGATCTATTGCTGAATAATTCAAGACAATACAAGGATGGAGAGAGTGACCAAGCTATGAAAAGTAACCTTCCCGTTTTTATTCCCCAATAAAAACCAGATAAACTCCTTAAAATCTGCATACAGAGTGTTGGCTGCACTTTCTGGTATTTGTGGGTTTACTTTACTCAAACCAAAGATTGTTTTTCTTGAAAGTAAAAGCTGAATTTATGTTAAGGCTTTTTACAGATCTTTAGTCAACAAGTTTTCCATACCAACTAATTTTAGCTCTAAATGCTGCCTTTTTGTTAATACAGTAGAGTGATGGTGACAAGATGGCTGCTCAAAGAAACTCTGGGCAAAGTCATCTCTTTAACTTTATTCTCACAATGTGTGTTTTTCTTGGTGAATGCTTGTACTTTGACATGTTAGTGAAGACATAATCTGAGCTTGTTTGTGTTTTATGGTGAGCCCGGCAGACTGTGTTCGACTGGGGACCAAAACTAGGCCTGTCATGATAACACATTTTGTTGGAATTAATTTTGTTCCAGGAATTAATATGACAAAAAATAATATTGTTATTTTAAACTAATAAAATAATACTCTCAAAGGTCAAAGGAACTTTAATTTTTAGAGAATATTTTAACACTGCAACTGGGAAACATTTTAAATATCCAAAATAAAATAAAAAACAAAGCAAGTGAAACAGGTTTTTAAACAATAATGAAAATGTATTATGGGGTCTCTAACTAAAATTGCATATTTATAAATGTTGAATGTTTAGTTTAGACACGGAAAAGAGGTCAAAGTGGCAGCTGGGACTGTTATCTAAAAATAACTTAAACAAAAGACATTCAAAATAAATATATGGTATCAAATGTTTGCAGTAATTTCAAAATGGCAGCTTCTCAATATTTAAGAGGAGCATTTCTTTAATGACTGTTTACTGTAAATTATCAAGCTCATTTTAATTTAGCATGCAAATAATCGATTTATTGCTTATTGTGACAGGCCTAACCAAAGCATTGGTTACATTTTTCAGCTGGTGCAGTTCGCTTTCACACTGCACTGTCAAATGAAACAAATCCTCTGAAAAACCTATGCTTTGCCTCACCTGTGGTGGCGCTGTACCAAGAACAACCGAAGAAAATGACATGAAATCCTCTGAAGAAGACATGAGCGCAACTTCCTTCTTTACAAAATGTAAACAAAAACGGAAGGGGCATCAAATGGTTGTAGGATTTCTCCTTTGTCTTTGGTAAAAGACCAGTGGGCATTTTAACTTCTGGCACTAGGTTCGTGTTTGTTTAGGATGTTTTTACCCACAATGCCCTGCGCTAAAATCCACTTCCTGCTTTTGAAGGGTTTTTAGGGAGACCAGAGTTTGCTTTTTTTCTCTTTTAATCAGTGTTCACACTTCCCCAATTGAAAAGGACGAAATGGGCTAACTTGAATCCACTAGTCCTTGATATATTATTACATCAATTTTGTACATGAATATAACCATGTACCTTTAGCTTCCTGTTGATGGAGAACATCTTCAATAAAAGATGTTGTTTTAAGGATAACACTAACTTTGCATGTCTCAAATGATTCCCAGCCTTTGTTTTGAGGTAATAGCTCATTAAAAACTAGAGCTCTGCTAAGCTGGAACTCCATTTCTCTAAAACTTCCTGATTCCATGTTAACTCACTTCCACCGTTTCCTTTCTCAGCCTGAACCCGTACAGCTACGACGAGAGCTGCGTGTCGAGTAGCGTGGACCACCTGCCTCTGGCGGCGCTCCCGCTCCTCGCCATCGTGTCCCCGCGCTACCAGGACGCCGTGGCGACCGTCATTGACCGAGCCAACCAGGTCTACCGTAGCTTTCTGCAGTCTGAGGACGGCCAGGGATTTAGCGGCCAGGTCTGTTGTTTCCTCTTCTGTTTTTAAAGGAGAACGGAGCGTCATGATGTCACATCGGTGAAGTAGAGAAGCAAAAATTATTTATTAGAGGACTGCGTAGTCTACGGCTTGTTCAGAGGCATCACTTTTTGCCTCCTGCACTGGGCTCGTCATAACCAGTTTAATTGTCAAGTGAGGCAATGAGTTCTGAGGTTTAAGCTGTGAGAAGTGAATCATTTTTGTCCAGCATTAATCATGAAAAGCAGTCATTTTGTTAAGTAAGCTAGCTTAGAAATAAAGAATATGGGAGGGTTTCTCCCCCCACTCTCCAGCGTTTCATTACTACTGTTTATCCCCGGCTTTGGGTTTTATTTTAAAATGACATAATACTCATAACTTGTTAGCACACGAATTAAGAGCTGAAAGCCGTCTAGATGAATCATAAAAAGCCCCAACAAGTGTCTTTTAATGACGATAATTACACTATTTATTTATTTTTGTGGCTGAAAGAATATGCTAGATTAATCAGTTTTGACTTCCTCTGATTTTCTTTTTGTCTGAGTCTAAAATGAATAAATTCCATATCTTGTCCTTTCCTCCTGTTGCTAATATAATTTCTCCCTGAAGTTGAGCAGTAATTGTCTCTCCTGTGACGATGACGTTTCCCGCTCTGATTATTTGTGCACTTAATCGACAAAGCAAACACGGGTTTAAAAAAGGAGTTGTAACACTAACGCATTAGTGCTGCGTTAAAAGAACGAGAAGAAAAGAGGAAATCTGGACCAGAGCTTCGTTCGCTGGTGTTTTAACACACAGTTTTATTCACTGCAGATTAACTTAAGTAACTTAAACTTCACTTAAGCTTCACTCACAAGAAATATGTGGCATTTTTGCACAATATGTTAAAATAAAATTAGAGAACGTTCTTTCGACAAGAAGATATTTCTGTTGATTTCTAAGTTGATTAATTGATTTTCATCTTAAATGCAAAATGTATATATATATATATATATAACTGTATATAAGTGAAGAGTTTTAGCCTAATTACTGCTCTGAGGGTGTTGGTCTTTCAGCAAAATGGGCTTTTTTTTTATTTTGTATGCTCCGGCTAACGATTAATCATTTACTAAATTAGTTCATGGTTATTGATTAATCACGATTAATCGTTTCAGCCCTATCTCATCCTATATGTCTTTGTGACCCTCCATGCACTCGTCCTCCTCCTCTTCAGAGACCGTCACCGACTGAAGAGAGGTGCTTGAACTTGTGTGTGTGTGTGTTCTGTGAGCAGGTTTGCCTGATGGGCGACTGCGTGGGCGGAGTGCTGTGCTTTGACGCTTTGTGCTTCAGCAACCACCCGAGGCCCAGCAGCCCCAACAGCAGCAGCAGGAACAACAGCACAGAGAGCCTGAAGGTAGGGCCTCAGCGATGACACACCCATAATGCATCGCTTTGTGTCTCTGTGTGTGTGTGTGTGCGTGCGTGCGTGCGTGCGTGCGTGCGTGCGTGCGTGCGTGCGTGCGTGTGTGTGTTTGTGAGGGGAACTGAAAGAGCTGATGAAAGAAAATTTTCCCTGGCACCGCATGATTACAGAATCATGATCAAGATTACATGCTTTTGTTGTTTCTCGTATTCATTAGTCGACTAAAAGTGCAGCAGAGAGAACATGCGCGGCTGTGGCAACGTCCTTGGCACAACTTTGTTGCTTCCCAGAGAAGCAAAAGCAACTCTGTCTTCATTCTGCCAGTTTGTTTGTTTTTTTAGTTACATCTAGGTCTGTCACAATAACAAATTTTGCTGGACGATATATTTTCCCAGACGTTATTGTGATAAACAATAACATTGTTCTTTTGAGACCATTTTCAAGTAACGTAGTGATAACGATATAATAATGCAAGAACACATTCTGAAGCTTTAAGAAGCTTTAAATTATGATAAACACTTAACACTGGAACTAGAAGACATTTTAAATATCCAAAATAAACAAATAACAAAAATAAAATGAATTATGAACCTCTGTAAACAAAATTGTCCTTGAGGGTTGGGCTAGTTGAGACCAAAACAACAGACTGAAGACTTTTATCATCCAGTTTTTGGTAGAATAAAAGAGAGAAAAGAAAAAAGGTAAATCATGTAGATGTAAATTCTTAAGCTTTTTTCAATTTACCATGTGATTTATTGATTTATTGCTTATTGTGACGGGCCTACCTACATAGTTACATTGCTATTCTATAGTGGTTTTAATATTAGTGCCTAGTATTTTATTCCTCCAACAAAACGGGGGAATAAAAGATGAAGTGAAATCTGCATGTGTTGCTCACAATTTGTTTTCTGTTTCTGGTTTTTGTGGGGATTTTTTTCCACTTCCTGAACACCGTCTGTAGCCCCTGTGTGTCTGTGTGTGTGTAAAATATTAATCCAAACATTAGTGTTGAACTGCTTCACTAAAGCTGCTTGTGCTTCATGTTTTCCCTCCCGGTAATGCGCTGCATGCTCACCGCTGAAATATTCACTCGTGCTCAGACACGCTGTCTCCATCTGACACGTTGGCGGTTCACCTGGGAAAGTGCGTCGGTTCCCATCAGGTCACACCAGCCTCCGGTCCCGTCCGGAGGCTCTCGTGTTGATTTTCTCCTCCTTCGCCTCAGGACAACACGTGCCGGCTGCGGGAGTCGAGTCCCGGCCTGAGCTCAAGCAAGAGGCTGAGCAAGAGCAACATCGACATCTCTGCTCCCAACGAAGGCCAGGGCGGCCCGTCGCTCAGCCGCAAGCAGAGCGACTCGTACGACGGGGATACCTCTTCCACGGGCCAGCACAACTTTTTTTCCAGGTGGAAAACACGACCCATGTTTTAAGATTTGTCCAGTATATAATTCCTCTGTTTTTTGTTGTTGTTGTTGTTGTTGTTTTGGTCTCACTTGTCTGTTTTGGGTCAACAGATTTTAACATCAGATCGAGAGAACCAGAGTAAATACAAAAGTTTGTTTTCCAAGCATGGTCATTGATTGAAAATAAAAAGAAGCAATTAAGCCTTTAAACTTTTATTAAGTTAATATGGGTGTGTTGAAGGGGCGGTATTATAAAAATGTGACTTTTTTGAGCTTTACATCATCTTATAATGTCACTGCCTCAACAAAAACATACCTGTAGGGTTGCCTCTATTTTTTTTCATGCATGTTTGAGAAATCTTTTAATCTCCTGGGAGCCCGGCCGCCATTTCCCATGACTCCATCACTCAACTCCTTCAGACTAGCCAGAAACAATTAGCAAACACCTGGTAGAACTGCACCAGATGTGCAATGTTTCCAGAGACATCATCATAATCTATTTTATTTATGGTTTCTGTTGTGTGTGGTTTTTATTTGCATTGTATTGTTTTTAGTTGTTTTGTTTTTTGTTTGGATATTTAAAATGTCCTCCAGCCCCAGTGTGGAGTGTTCTTTACAAAATTAAAGTTCATTAGTGTTTGAGAGGGCGAACTTGAAATATTAACCCATTTTCAAAATACATAATGTAAAACTGCCTCAACACAACAATATTATCGCAATCATTTATGGGAGAATTTTATCATTCAACAAAGTCTGTTGTCATTACAGACCTGCTGCTGTATCTGCAGCTCGTGTTTCTCTGTTTCTCTGCCCGTTTCAGGCAGTTGGATGGAAACTGGGAACCACTGGTTCATTTGGTCAAGCTTGAATGAGCCTGGAAGAGTTCCAGCTGCCATGTTTACTCTGTCCAAAGAAATGGTTTCAATTCCAGGTTACACGCTCCTCTAGTGCTTACAGCCACCCGAGATAAAGTACTCTTCAGTCTTCAGTCCCATAAATTCCCAGTGATGACACGAGGTTTATGACGGCAGAGCTGTAACCTTTTAAACGCCCTGTTAACCTGAGCAAGGCTGCATGGAGAATTCCCTCTGCTTCTTCTCTATTTCCTCACAGATCCCTGTAGATAATCTCCTTCACCATGATGGCTAATTAAATATCATTAAATATATTAATTTGAGCATCAGACTCTGGTTTGTTTCTGACCCTGATTATGGTGAGTTTTAGTTCCGTCTTCCCTGCAGAACTGTTTAAATTCAGCCACAGTGAATGGTTTTTGAGCACCTTTGACTTGTTTGAGGGCGCACCACAACATCTTAATCAAGTTTGAATACAGACTTTAACTAGACGGCTCCAAAACTTTCATTCTCCCGTCTAACCCGACCTCGCTTGAGCTTTAGTTAACAAATCAAAAACTGGAACATTTCCCTTGATGCTCCACAGGCGTTGGATCATGCTTTTTAGTAAATGTGAGATAGGCCACGGTGTTCTTCTTTTTTAGTCAGCGGCACTCTTTGACTTTGAACTCTCAGTAGGATATCATTTTTTATTATTATTATCATTATTTTAGATTTTGTCATGTAATTATCACATTTATACAGTGTATTGTTATGTTTGTATAATACATTATCACATTTTTACAATAGCATTATCAAGTTTATACAATATATTATGAAATGTGTACAATATAATTATCACATTCATGCAGTATGCCATCTTTGCATAATATAAAATTTTTACAATAATTTTATCAAGTTCGTACAATGTAATTCTCACATTTATACATTATGTTCATGTAATATCACATTTTTACAATACAATTATGCAGTTTACACAATATAATTATCACAGTTACACATTATTGGATATACTTTTTATACGTGTTTATGCAATATATTTATCATGTTTGTTCACTATAATCATCATGTTATTATGAGACGGTGTTAAAAACTTCTTGTCCTCCCTGACAGCAGTAATCTTCCATACAGAACCCCTGAAAAATACTGAAACCCAAGAAAACCAAAATGTAAACTGAATACAAACTGAAGTGTAAAATGTAAACATGAGTTTGTATTTTTAGTTAATGCCAGGAGTGGAGAAGATTCCCTTACCTGCTGCAATAATCTTTGCTACAGTCCATGTCATGTTTATCCAAAAGAAAATACTGCAGCAAATTAGATTTGCTTCCTCTAAAATTGAAAGAAGATTGTAACAGTAACAATGTTCCACTGCAGTAAAAAAAAAAGAAAAAGAAAAGAAGTAAAAAGGGTGCAGAAGTGGGTATGAGAGAACACAAAAGCCAAAACAGCTGCAGAAAGCAATCAAAGGGCCATTGATTTGGCTTCAGCAGATAGCTGGAGACTGCTAGCTAATCCTCCCTCCACATGTAGGACTTAATGGGGAAATGTTGGCCGGCTGCTAAAGCCCAGGGATGGAGCTGGTCGGCATGCCGACATGGCGGTGACCGACTGGACTGTTCAAACAGCTGTCGGCGCGGAGCGGCCTGTGAAGGCTGAGTCATAAAGGCTTGGTGCCGACAGCTACTACCAAACGATAAAACCAACACGAAAACATCTGAATCAGGGCAAAGAAAAAGGATTATTGACTCATCCGAGTCAAGACAGAGAAATTGAATTTGAATATTCTGCGTGGGCTTTATTGATTTTTAACATTTCAGATTAATCCTGGACAAATTTCTGGTAGCTGCATAGAAAATCAACAACACAGACGTTTTCCTGTGTTACTATAAATTGTTTTTTGTTGTTTTTTTTGTTCTCCATGGTCCAGTTTGATGAAGGAGGGTGTAGAGGTGCGCGGTGGCAGCAGCACCAGTCTGGTGTTGAATCCAGGCCGCTTCGACTTTGAGGTGTCGGACTGCTTCCTGTTGGGCTGCCCTCTGGGATTGGTGCTGGCCATGAGACGCACAGTGCTGCCCGCTATTCACGGTAAGAACCACAACCATGTACCACATAAAACATTGCATTCTGCTTTCATTTAAACTCTGTTTGCAGTAGAACAAAAGGGAGTCCTACTTTCCCTTGCAGACATGAAGGACTGAAATGGATTTTCTTATTGAGAATTGTTGCCATTATGTTCTGGAAACCTGGTTGGTGAACTCTAGTGCGCAAAAATCTGAAGTAGAGTTTCAAAATGGACTAAAATCTGATTTGTTAGCATGATGCTCGCCGTGTTTGTTACAGTCTGGAAAGCGATAGAATTTGATTGAAATATTTTCCACTTCTAAAAAACAAAGAGAATAAAACAAAATTGAGTATAAAACATATTTCCATCCATCCACATATAGACTGAACTTCATTTCATTAGAGTGAAACAGACTCGCTCTCTAAGTAAGATACAGGTTTAAAATTACCTGCCTCAGTGTGTCCTATTTAAAAACTCTTAAAAAACTTTAAATTGATGTATCTAAAATTAAGATCTTAAAATATCTTAAATTCTTTTGAAAAATATAGGTTGGGCTTAAATATGTCAATTACAGGTCTTACATTTTGGGATGACTGGATTTTATAACCTCATATGTAGTTTCTTTTTTTCTTGCGGGTCTTTTCTATGTGGCAGACGTCTGAGGCGCGTTCTGTGTTATAACATGCTGCTAGCAGCTAGTCAACGGTTCATAACTAGCTGCTAGTACACCCTTGCTAGCTAGCTGTCTTTTATGCGTTTGTTGTACACAGGTGCATATATCACCAGTTGGGTTGACAATGTTTTTGTTTGCCAGTGGCACACTTCTTTTGCCAGCCCGTATGAGCCAATAAGATCTGCCAATCATAAACATTTCTTTCAAGCTGGCATGGTCTTAAAAAGTCTAAAATTTGACTTACTGAATCCTGCCAATAACTTGCACTTGCTATCATACCTCTGCTGTTTTCTCTTCCCCAGTGGGGCAGCTTCGCCCAGCCTGCTCCCAGATCTTCAACCTGTTTTACCCCTCCGATCCTTCAGCCTCCAGGCTAGAGCCGCTGCTGCAGCCTCTTTTCCACAAGCTGCCTCCGTTCGCCGTGCCGCGCTACCAGCGCTACCCTCTTGGAGACGGGCGCTCGCTGCTCATCGGTAAGACCTGGGATTTCATGCTGAAAGAGTCACTTGAAAATGTTGCTTCTTATTCGTGTCTTCTTGCATGATTGCACAATGGGATAAATATTTTTTGGCTACTTTCCTTTCAAAAGTGATGTTAAAAGCTTCAAGGAAATCACTTGGTTGGAGAATTAATTTGAGCTCCGCAGGGATTTAATGACATCCTAATGGGAATTTTTGACGGGTAAACACATTCACAAATATAGATGGAGGACACACACACAGCCTTAATCCCATCTCTAGTCTGATTGTGCGGCAGAGGCAGAGCTAAATCCAAGCCTGGAGCCAGAAAAGCCAGAGGTTTGAAGCAATTATACTTGATCTTGCCGGGGTGTGGTACCTTCTGCTTGGCTCTGCTCTGTGAGGACCAGGTAGGAGAGGAAATAGTGCTGCTGTAATCTCCCTGAAAGACTTAGCCGTGCAGACTCAGTCCTTAATGAGTTGCTAAATTTATTTGAAGGATGTTTTAGCCCACTTGTGGGACACAGAGACTCTCTTTAAACAGTAGTTATGATGCATCGCCTTATTCTCTGCCTCTGTAAACACCTACAGACGAAGAAAGTAGGACAGAGTCCAACAATTTATCCTAGCAGACTGCAGCCAACAAAGTCCTGTCTATTAGGATAGGGCTTTGTAATTTTTAAAATAAAATCCTGTTCCTTAGCATGCTGATAATAAAAGTGGTTGACAAAGCAGGTATATGACATAGCATTTTAGGCCTAATCCACACAGCGATATCTGGGAAAACAGATTTTTTGCGTTTTGTCCTCTCGTTCACATAAAAACTCTGTTTAACATCACTAAAAATAATTAATTATAAAAACCCTAACCAAAGTGAAGATTTGCGAAAACTCCGTATTTGTGAGTGTGTACATGGTAAAACAGATATTTAAAGTCCATTACAATATGATTCAAAAAGTGCGCTAATATAACCACACAGCAGCACTGACATGATTCCCAATTAACATCGTCTTGTGTCTTAATAACTTTATATTTTAATATGCTATTCATATCTGTCCATACAAATGGACATCCTGTCGCCATGTTTAATTCCTGAAAGGAAGTTGTGGTTGTTTTGAAGCAATGTGATTAGCTGACAGGTTTTAGCTTTGCGCTACACTGCCCCCTGTGGGTTTGGCATGTTTAAAACAACGCTCAGGGGTGGATTTGTGCAGGATGGGACTTTCCTGAAAGCGATCCAATATATGATATTATGTTTTTAAAAGTTGTGGTGGAGATATTTGTTTTCATAAAGACCCGCTGCATGTGTACAAGACCTCAGATTATTTACATTATACAACAGCTAAAACATTTCCTCTTCTTTTCACCCATACTTTATTTTATTTTTGCAATATAGTGAATCTCCAGAGATGGTATAAAACAAAACCCTTTGACACTATGAATGTTTCTATAGCAGAAAGCATTGGTTTTGTTCCTGCTGTATTCTCTGTTTGTTTTAGTTGAACAGCAGTAGAACATGGTCAGACATTTCTGCTGTGGTTTTTTTTTTTTTTTTAGCTTTCTTGATTGATTCAGATACATTTTCATGAGCCTATTATTTGCTGCCATATTATTTCCAGAAATAAAGCCTTTTCCCTAGACCTCACAAAATAACTTTTAAGCAAGTAAAACTTTAGTTTTCTTCAAATTATTCAAGAATGCACATTTAACAGTTAGCAGGCAAAGTGACAGCTGTTGAGGCTGAGCAGCATTTGTTTTGTTGTTCTGTTTAAATTTCTCTGAGCGTTGCACAGCCAGATGTCCGGGTGAATTTACCTGCATTTCCTCTTCTGGACAGATTGGCAGCTGTCCTAATGTTTCACACTTGTAAATGATTTTTCTCTGCAAAGAAAGCATCAGTTCCTTCTCTAAGGTCATTGCTGATGTATTTCCACCTTGGCATCGTGTCAACACACGCATGTTCCGGACCAGCAACCAGGGAAAACTCCTGCTTTCACAGAGGCTGCCGCGCCGACGGCGTTCTGATGATCAGTAGGTTTGATTAGAACCACTTGGCTGATTCTGTCGCTCCAGGACTCCCTGGCAGCAGCTAAAGGGTCCTTTGTTTGTCACAAGCAGCTTTTCTATTGTGGCTTCATCTGTGTTTTAATAATAATGTGAAATCTATGTGTTTTGCTCAAAATATGGTTTTTCTAGCTTATTGTAAAATAATGATGCACCAAAAAAAAAAAACAATTGGTAAAGCTGCAACAAATGATTATTTTAATAACCTATTAACCAATTATTCTGACAATTAATCAATAAATTAGATTTAAAAAATAGACATATTCTGCAGATTTTTCATCTAAGCACTTAAATGCCTTTTTTCAATATTATATTAGAAATACATTAAAGGATGCAAATAAACAAATTACTTTTTTTTTATTAAAAAAAATTGCATTTTACTGCATAAAAAGCAAGAACATACCATTACTTTAGTGATCACTTGATGATTCGTAGCAAAGGATACACATTTTTTAAAAATCCTTCCAACATCAGCATGTGAAAAATTCCAACCTTTTTGTTTGACTTATCAATGCAGTTGTAGGGATTGTCTGTTGATTAATGTTGAATTAACTGATTCATAACAGGTCAGCAAAAAGTGATCAATGTGAGAGTTTTTTCTTTTTTGTTGTTGCTGTTTACAGAAACAGAAAACTATGCCACTTTAGGAGTTAGCATATATTTTAATCTTAAGTGCAAATATAAAAACTTATCTTTTGAACAGTTCTGGCTTAATTTCTGCCCTGACTTTAACTTTTTTTGAGTCTTTATACTCAAGTTAACGATTAATCGTTGGTTGATGATTATTTCATTAGAGCTGAAAGATTAATTGCTGAAAGATTTATTGTTTCAGCCCTAATTACAAAAAGAAAAAATATTTTATGATGACTTGTTCTTCATGCTGGTACAGTTTGTTCCTTTAATGAACAGCCTGCTTGGCTTTCTATCTCTAAATCTGGTTTAATTACTCACTAACGCAGCAACAATGATTCTATCAGTCAGCTGATGTTTGACACAGCAGATGTTGCTCAAAAGCACAAATCCCATGGGCGATCTTTGCTTTTTTTTTTTTTTTTTCTTACCGCCAGTAGAGCCTGCGTACAAACTATATGACACCTTCCTGCTTTCACCTGATTAATTTGGATGCCAAAGATGTTCTTTTTTCCCCCTATTATATTAATTACTTCTTTGCTCAGCCAATCACGTGACACCGTGCCTGACGCCTCTCTGAGCCGGCGGTGCAGACAAAGGTTACGGAGCGTAAACAGCAGACAGAGCATCGACTGGCGGCTGTGCCAGGTTTTAATTATAGGTCCCCATCTCGTTTCCATCGATCAGCCGTGTGCCGCTGTCGACTTTGCGTGTGGAATTAAAAAAAAAACAACAACGGGCAGGTGCAGGCGCGCCGCGGAAACTGTGGCACGCGCCACCCGTTTCCTGTTCTGTAATATAGCAATTAGTGCTCATGAAGGCATGGAGTGCCAATCAGGAACGACTTTGACATGAGTTACCGTCGACTGTGCAGCGTTTATTATGACGAATGCTGCTGATACGCAGAGGAGGAGACATCTGATATCGATTTTAAGCTGTTCGGCCAGAAGGAAACATGACATGCTACACACATGGCATCAGGGTGGCATCAATCAGTGGTGATTGTTTGGATATTTGTGTTTTAGTGTAAAGGTTACATGTATTTTTTCTTTGTTATTAATAGATGTGGAAGTTGAGAGGATCCTGTTTGGTATGAGTTTTTTTTTTCCTTCCTCCCTCACAATGTCAGAAATGTTCCCTCACAATCACTTCCACACACATGAATCCTCATTACTGTCATCAGCCGTTTCAGTCTCAATCGCTCTGCCTTGAGAGAGGACTTTCTTCTTTTTCTCTCTCCTTTGTGTTTTTTTGTCTTGTCACCATGCGAGCCTCGTCTCCTCCAAAACACTGACAGCAGAAATCATTTGAATTTCTGTGTGTTTTTACAAAATACGTCAGCGGCCTTTTTTTTTCCTCCCCCCCCCCTTTTTTTCCATTTCTCAATCACTGCCAGAGTAATCTCCCCGTTTCTCTCAGCTCATTGTGTGGCGAAGAAGAAAACAAAAAGGGAAATAAATGTGCAAATTTTCTTCAGGCTGAAAGAGAATAAGGCTTCCTGTTAGATGTTTAGCACGGGGCTCATTAATGACAACAGACTGCAGGGAGTGGAGATGAGAGTGAGGCTGCAGTCTGTTTGCAGATAATATTGCTTTCCTGGTGCAAACAGTGGATCTGTGGAAAACTTCAAACCCCCTCACAGATTTCTGCTTCTTCTTCTGCTTTTTCTAAACCTTTCAGGTCATCAATCAAATTACAGTACAGAACGGGTTGAGGCCTGGTTACTGTCTGACCTGTAGAATCAAGACATTAGTTTATAGTAGGGTAAAATATCTCTGAAAGCGAAACACGTCGCCCCAGTTTATAGAACGTAAAGAACAGATGAGAAACTTAAAAGTCACAGCGATCTATTTGTCTACCATAGGCTAGTCTAGTCATTTCTAGTTTTTATCTTATTTTTTTTCAGCAGTGAGTCACTGTCAACACATTGAGTAAACTATATGTTTGCTGCGTCTGTTCAATTTTAACCTTTTAGTTGCTGCATACTCAAAACATAGCGACTCAAAACCAAGACAGGCTTTCTTAGCGGCTCTTAACGCAATATTTTGTCACTTTGCTTCAGATACGAAATCTTAAACCATCTGAATTTGAAATGAGTTTTGATTGTCCAATAAAGTCTGGCAGGATTGCAGTAAGGAAAAGTATGGAAAAGTATGAAATATGATTTTAAAATGGTCTCTTCCAAGTCTGGATAAATATGTAAAATAATTATTTGTATGCCCAAACTGTCACTTTGTCCATCCATCTGTGTCCATTAAATCCTGATTACTTTAGAAATATCTTCCATAAATTACTTATTTTATTATGATAATAATAATAAT